TTTTTTGGAATCCAAAACAATCGCAGTTTGTTTCTGTATCACTGCCATTGAGTGGTAACATTGCCACGAGTGCCTGAAATGTGTACAAAGTGAAATGCTACGCGGGCTTCCGGACATCGAGTCCGATAAGAGGCAGAAGTCAAAAGCTTCTTACTTTTGCAACCCGCGTTTCAGGAACCAGTTGATATTGAAAAAGGTCTGCTGCCGGAACAACAAAGCCGAATCGCCAAAAGCTTGCAGTTCGACGGGAAAAAAACTCAGCTGGTCAGTTGAAAAAAAGCCTCATTTGGTCAGTTTAAAAAACAAGCCAAGTTGGTGAATTTAAAGGAGGAACCCAGTGAACAGTCTAAAAAGAGTCCTAGCAGCATCCGGAAAAAGAAGTTATTCGTACTTTGGCTTTTGTTCAAGGAGAAACAGATTCACTGTCCCCAGTTTGCTAAAACAATACCTGTCTGGTGTGGGCCGAAGTGACGTAAAAAATAACTGCAGGCAGCGGAGCAAATTAAGCGGCTATACGATCTCTTTATCGGTGTCGATGCAACCCAGGTGGAAATAAATCCATTTGTTGAGACAGCCGACGGATTACGTTGGTCTCTTCTTGGCTTCTGTAATAAAAAGTATTGATGCGGTTCACTGATCACCGTTCAATGCGATTATTTTGTCCGAGAAAAAATCTTCAGTTTTTAAAAACTTATGAAATTTCATAATTATGCGGGTCTTACAAGTAATCGCTCTGAAGTCCCCCAGGTGGAATGTATTCATATACCTGATGAGGCTCACCGATTCTGATTTGTTTATTTTCAAGCTTTAGAGAACAAATCTCAGATTGTTGTCCAAGCTTCAAACTCTTTCTCTTTTTTATCAGTTTCAAGCGATTTTACCACGTTCTGAGCTCAAGCTACCACTTCCTCTGTTATCCCTTTCTTGTTGCTTCCGGGTACGATGTTGGAACTTTTGATTTTCAAAGTCGGCCGAATTGTCAGAGCGATTTTGCATAATTTAAACAAAACGGTCCTGAAGAGTTATAGCAAACCCCACTGCAAGTGCATTGTTTGCTAGTTAGGCCAACCTTTAGGGAACAAAATTGGTATCACTGGCAATTAAATGATAATGTTTCTTAAGCATACTGCGTTGATGCCAAACTGAATTTTGATGATAGCGCAGCGTTCCGACATCCGGATATCTTTCAAATGGAAAGCCTCGACAATATCGTAAATTTCCTTTTCTTTTTTTTTGAATTTCTATAAAGCGGTAGTCAAATTTTTGGGGCGCTTTAAAATCGACCTATTTTTAAGAAGTTTTCGGCAAATTTAACTTTAAAAACATTCGCTGGATTGATAAGCGATGTCCCATTACGGATAATTTTGAGGATCCCCGAGAAGCACAAGCAAAAGCGAACAATCTTAATTATATACCGCTGGAGGGCAACATTGGATGCCTTGGTAAGTAAACCTAAAAATTGAGTGTTATTTTTTGTGACCTGTTTATGATTTCTTGTTTCCGTCACCTGTTTATGATTTTTTTAGGTCTTGAGAGAGGAGTACTGCTGGTTTATGCAAAAGGAACTTCTGGAACACACACTACTTCTATGCATTTTTGAAAACTTTTTTTTTGCTCCCTGCACTTTTAGAAAACTTTTCACAAGTTTCATGGAACAGTGTCTTTCGTCCTACTGGAGCCATAGAATGAAAAGCCAATACCCAGTCAGCATTCGATGAAATCTATCGTCGACAGTTCTTCACCTCAGTACTACTTTATGGCCCTCAGTCAGCTCTTTGGCTGAACTTAGCGGCATGGCCCCACAAAATCAATTTACTTTGAACAAGCGATTTTCGTTTACTGCTCCTTTGCAGTGAATGGTGCTGGCCTTGCGATGGCAACAATGGACTTGATTAAATTGCACGGCGGCGATCCGGCTAATTTTTTGGATGTTGGTGGCGGAGTAACCGAAGACCAAGTGACCGCTGCTTTTAACGTTATTATGACCGATCCACAGGTAAAATAACATGCTCACTTTTAACAGGTCGGTTCCTTTCAGTTTCCGAGCTTTTAGTAAATTGGTACCCGTTTTCCCATTCTTGCCAACGTTTCCACACAATAGTACCAAATGAACGTTTGCAAGCTCAGTGAAGTGTTTTTATCGCTCTTTCCGATTCCCATGGGAAAAGTAAGTTCGGAAAGAGTGTAGTGTGGTCACCACGTTTTAGAATGTTCCCACTGCCCTTTTCAATTTCTGGACTTCTCTCTGTCGGGACTCCGAAATACGTTGAAACTGCTCCACGACTAACTACATGAAAATCTGTTCCAAACGGTTACGCTGGCAGATGGATTATGTTATTTGTGGAGGGAATATGAATCATAGGTGGGTGAACTGATGATCACAGAAACGGCGAATTTGGTGATAGAGAGCGAAAAAATTCGCACTGCTATAAGAAGCTAGGTTTGGTTCCACATGGCGATAAATAAGTAACCTCAATTAAGGTTAAAGCAATTCTTGTGAACATTTTTGGTGGTATCGTGAACTGCGCGACAGTTGCAAAAGGCCTCATTGCAGCGTTCAACAAAACTGGCCTGAAGATTCCAATGGTTGTACGCTTGGAAGGTTTCATTCTTTGTGAAATTCTGATGCTTTTTTTCTTCCTTCTAAACAAACAACCACTTCAAAATTACAGTAAGAAAGCAACCGTATTTCGTTTCGTGTGGCTCTGAGCACTGCTCTAAATGAAGGTGCGCTCTGACTCTTCCCAAGGACAGAAGATGAATGTTACACAAGTTTACGGCTGAAAACTTCAAGCTCTAAAGCTATAGTTCATCCTTCATCGCCATCCTATTTGCTTATGCAGTGCAGTTTTGTTAGAAAATGAAAGTCTTTAGCACTCAAATCTCCAGTTTGATGGATAGTTCTAGCCTTCCCAAAACAAATAAAAAATTTACAAAACAACCAAGTCCGAAAAAACGAGAAGTTAACAATTTTTCAGGAACAAATGTGAAAGCAGCACAAGAATTGTTGCAGAATAGCAATCTTCCAATCATCGCAGCGGATAGTTTCGAGGATGCTGCTAAAAGAGCTGCAGCGTGTGTCAGTTCATCTTGAGCTTCGGCCATTATCCAGAATTCTAAGTAAACATTCAAACTGCTGTTCTGGTTTTGTATGTAAAATAGAATAAAAATCTGCCACCTTAGACAATCTTTCAAAGAATCCCGAATTAACTCACTACAAGTAAAGAATCCAAGACAATCAGGAACGACAAACAAGACTAAGACAGAAGTAGTCTGCAAAACTCAGTTTCGTCCAATAATTTTT